GCAAGATCTTACAATATTTGATTTCACAGCTCCAGGACAACGTTCACAACATCAATTCCAAAATGTCCAAGTTCCAATCTGCATGTTGAATAACAACAACTATAAGATATAGTATATAGTATGAGTAAATGCTCCAACAAATTTGAGAAAGGGAAAATGAAAACCTTAATGTATCTGTCAAAGCATGAAGAGCAGCTTTAGAAGCAACATAGGCACCATAAAAAGTTGCAGAGGCCAACCCCGAAATACTGCCAATATTCACCATCTTTCCCTGTTTCCTAGCCGCCATGTGAGGAACCACAGTTTGGACCACTCTCAAAGAACCTATGCATGTATGTAAAACTGGTATCAAGAATCTGTAGAAGCACCTTCAAATTCAATGTTTTGATGATGTCAACAACAAGACTCAAGCTCAGTTCATATGTGCAAAAAGTCAAAGCTTTCAAACGATCAAGATCAAAGGCTATGCAAAGGAATGAACATCAAGCTTCATATGCAATTGATCATACATCTTTCAAGACTTGGACGCAAGCTTATGTATATCAAAATTCACTAAGTTAATTGATATACAAGTGTTCAAAAAGTCTAATATTTTATCATATTGCATGTGCATAATTTTAAAACATTTGAAATTGGTATAACATTTTTTTATTAAGTATTTTTCTGAAAATTATCAGTGTTAACCGATTAACCATGTAGGTTAACCGGTTAACGGTTTCAAAACTTATGTTCTTTGGGCGTTCATGTGTTAACCGATTAACCTATAGGGTTAGCCGATTAACACTGAACGAATTTTGAAAAATTGCCTATTTCAAAGTTCAAATTCATGTTAAAGTTATACCTTTTCATTGTTTGTTCTATACTCAATTAAACCTGTTTGAATAGGTGTTTTGGCTCATTTAAAGTCTGAAAATTTCAAATTAAGAAACACCTCCTACAATTTTCAAAAACATCATTGAATCAAATTCACTCAATTCAAATATTTTTCAAAAAGTGTTCATCTTGTTCATACTATTTCATATACAGAAATTTGAACACTTGTATTGACATTAAAGAAGTGAATTCTGATTAAAGAAGAAGATCAATCTGTGTATTGATATTATTACTCATTTCTCTCAAAAACAAGAATTATAGAATTGTCTGTGTTGTGACTTATGATCCAGGATTGTTGGACACAAGATAAGTGTATGCAGGAGGATTGTTCTTGCACACTTGTGATTGTATAGTTGTTAGAAAGTAGGTCTCACTGGTTGATGGTGTGATAGATTGTACATTCTAAAATTAATAAAACTCTCTTTCATGTTAAAAAGGGAGTGGAGTACTCTCGAATTGCGAGGGAAACCATTATAATTTTCTGTGTACTTTTACATTATGCATTTACAGCTTTCATCACAACAATCATAACCAAAGTAAAATTTAAGAAAGCCAAAAAACTGGAAAAATTTTCTAAAACCTAATTCACCCCTCTTAGGCATACTCTGAACTTAGTTCAGAAGAATCTGGTTGATAAAATATTTACATTTTATTTATTTAAAGAGTTACTACCAACCAAAGACATCGGTTTGAAAGTTGTTTTGGATCGCAGAGAGAGGAAGCTCGGCGAGTGGACCGACACATCGAACACCGGCGTTATTGATGAGAATATCAATGCGGCCGTATTTATTGATAACAGTATTGATAACTCTGTTCACGCTATTATCAGACAGAATATCAAGCTCTTGCAGGAAGAATTTGGGGTTGTGTTCTAGGTTTGCCATGGTGAATCTCGACCTGCTGGTGGCTACCACTTTGCAACTGTTGGCGGCGAAGGAGAGTGCAAGCGCGTGACCTATTCCGCCATCAGAGTAACCTGTGATGAGGACCACCGGTTTGGAATCTTTCCAATCATCGGCAATGATCTCCATTGCGTTGGAATTGTTGTTTGGGATTCTTCTATGATTACTCAGATTAAATGCTGGTATTAAGAAATGATTTAAAATGATTTCATTTTCATATTTTAAGAAATATAATAAATTTTGTAAAATATTTTAACATATAACAATTGAATGAAATTATTTTTTTGAATGATGATGTATTTGTTTTTTACCATTACAAAGTGACTCAAGAAATAAAATACAATTTACTACTACAAATGAGTCAAATTAATAAATACAATATTTTTTTCCAATTTAATATTTCTTTATAAATTAAGAAGAAACCTAATATTTTTTTTTTATCTAACTATCGAATTTAAGAAAAGTGAGGATTAATTTTTATCGAATTTTTCTATTTAAGCCTTCTTTTTTTTATATAAAAATTATTCATTTTTACTGTATATCTAAAGAAACAATAAAAATTAATTATTTTCATGTATTTTGATGGATTTTAAATAAAAAAAAATCAATCAAAATGTGTAACTTTTTCTGAGTTTTTTAATAAAAAAATGGGTAAACATTAATATATATATATATATATATATATATATATATATATATATATATATATATATATATATATATATATATATATATATATATATATATATATATATATTCCGGAATTTTAGAAAAACCAATAAAAAATGTTTGTTTTTACTTGTTATTTTAAAAAAAAAATCGATAAAGAATCATGTGATTTACTAAATGTCTCAAAAGAAATTAATAAAAATGTACTCATTTTTACTGATGATTTTGAAAAACCGATAGGCAGAAATTTATACCGCTTGTTTTAAAAAAAATTCAAGAAAAACATAAAGTTTTACATATTTTTTTAAAAACGGATAGTTTAAATATTATTTTGTTTATTTTCAAAGAGGACCAGAGGATTAGACGACATGATTGCTTCTCGGCAGTTTAACAAAGTTGAAGTTGCTGAAGTGGAGGCTCGTGTGTGAGGAGATGACATAGAGGACTCGTATATCCGGGCGGGGAGAGTAGTCCCGATCGGTTCTCACAAGAGGCAGATGGCAGCTGAACAGTTTCGTGCATCCCACAGTACTCGGCGAGAGGATTTAGACATGTTGCAAGATGGACCAGAGATCCTAATGATGAGTCTGTTGATGAGAATGTACATGTAACAGTTGAGGATGACATGCAAATGGTGGCAGAGACAGAGAAGCCGCATTCTTCTAAGACGATATAGGGCTGAAGTTGCGTTTTTAAGAGAAGTTGCGGGGCTAAGTTGTAATAAGGAAGTTGGACATCCTGAGGTTTTATGAGGTCGGGCAGCGAGTTATATGCACATCTCGGACTTAATTCATCGGGCTCTAAAAGGACCATCCAGTCGGAGCCGTTATGATGTTCCTGGAACAATCAACGGCCAAATTTGTTACATAATGATTAAGAATTAAATCAGTTATGAATTGTTAATGGTTACTAAAACATATTAAAAACCACGCCTCTTCAGTATACATAAGGGGTAAGGCTTGTAATATAGATAGATCCTTGAGACCAAACAGGAAAGGGGTCTGACCGATGAATAACACATAAAAGAGGAAACACGTGAAAAACCTTGGACCACCGAAACTTATAATTTATTGAACCACTTTTGGTGTGGGTGATTTGTAGAGGCTCTGGATGTCATACTTTTGATTAATTTCGTTGTTTGGACAATAATTTTTTATTAAATGAAGCAACATTCAGACTTCTTGAATTGTGAACTGACATCCTACTTAGATAGAAATATATATTATTTATTAATTATTGAGTCGGGAAATAGGTTGTTGTTACAACCTCTCCCCCTCGCCCGCCTTCAGAGCACGAAATATTGAAACAGTCAAATTCTTCATTGTATCTTAATTCATTTTCTTAATTGTGAGATATACACATTTTTTTAAATCAGATCTCAATCTCGACGAAATTTTCAATTTAGATCTTAATCTCATAATCAAAATAAAGAAGTAATTTGGGATCCGAGTTAAGCCATACTCCAAATATCATAAATTATGAAAATTTAACTTAATCTCATTGATCAATTAATTTGTTAACATACTTAAAAATGCTCGATTCTGACACAGAAATATAATGACATATATTTAGATACACGTTATTCTAACTTTATATCTTTTATTTTTTATTGTTAGTGACTTATGTGTCAGAGTGTTTGCATGTAACCTCTACACTTCGCCCTGCCCCTCGGAGCATGGAATATTGAGACATTCAATCAAATTCTTCATTATATCTTAATTCATTTCCTCAATTGTGAACTATACACGTCTTTTCAAATCAAATCTCAACTCAACACCAATTTCAATTTAAATCTCAATCTCATAAAGAAGTGGTCATTTGAGATCCGAGTAAGCCATACTCCAAATATCATAAATTATTAAAATCTAATTTAATCTCTTTGATCAAATAATTTGTTAACATAGTTAAAAATCTTCATTCTCACACCAAAATATAATGATCTATATTCAAGTTCACTATTTTCTAACTCTATAATGACTTATATTCAAATTCACTCTTTTCTAACTCTATTTTTTATTTGTGTATCGGAGTATAATATTGAGACTAAAAACATTTAGTCGAATTCTTCATTATATCTTAATTTATTTCCTCAATTGTGAACTTTACATGTATTTTCGAATCAGATCTCAACCTCAACAATATTTTCAATTTAGATCTCAATATTATAGCCAAAACAAAGAAAAGTAACACTTGGAATCGAGTTAAGCCATACTCCAAATATCATATAAATTATCAAAATCTAATTTAATCTCTTTAATCAATTAATTTTTAATATCCTTAAAAATGCTCGATTCTGACACGGAAATATAAACCTCCGATAAGTAACATACTAGAGATGAATCTTGAATATTTGTATCAAACCCAAATCTTACAAAAACTTTATTCCACTTAAAATAATTTCTATAACTCAGCTGTTATTGCTTCAACATTTATCCAACAATCAATAAAAGTTCATATACCAAGACATTCTCCAATGTATCTTATCTCCTGCTTAAGTGGAATACTAGCAACTTATTGATTGAGATCTCCATAAAGATGGGTAGATGCAATTGTAGCTCAGAGTTTCATTGCTTTCTTAAAAAGAAAGTCTCTAACACAAAGAGGCAAATGGTACATGATAGCCATGACGGTGGAATAATGACCATAAGAGAACCATGCAGGTGGTTTCTTTCTAAGGACAGCAGCTACAGTATGTTTAGCAAACTCATCTGTAGGGGTTGATCTTGACCTCTGAGAAAATAGAGCTCTCGCCCGGATTGCTGCTTCAAATGGCTTGAACAGTTTCCACTCTGGCATGCTGTTGTAGATGGATATGCCAGAATTACCAATATTTGACTTCACAGCTCCAGGTACAACATTCACAACATCAATTCCAAAATGACCAAGTTCCAATCTGTTTGTTGAAAATAGCCATAATTATAGTAAGATATAAAGAAAAAGGGTCAAATGGAAATCAGCTAACAAATCAAATAATGGCAGAGTCCATAGGCACCAAATGATTTTTAAACCTATTTAACAAACTCCACTAGATTCCACTTTTTCATCAAATTACTACACTGATTGATCTTGACAGTAACAAGAGACTGATTCAACAATTTAAAGCAGTGATTCTCATTCACAATCACAAGGTATAGTAACTCTCTAACTAACACCAATGCTCCTTTCATGTACACAACGAAACAACAATTTCTTAACCAATTGAAATACCTTTAGTTAATATGATGCAGAAATGAACAAATCCACGATTAAAACAAGTTTGAAGGGAAACTTAAAACCTTAACGTATCTGTCAAAGCATGAAGAGCAGCTTTAGAAGCACTGTAAGCACCCGACCAAGGTCCAGAGGCCAATCCAGTAACACTGCCAACATTCACAATCTTTCCTTGCTTCCTAGCTGCCATGTGAGGAACCACCGCCTGTACCATTCTCAATGAACCTGCACAAGTATGCAGTGAAAAATAGATATTTCTTTTTTATGAAAAGCCAAGTAAATTTCAATTAAGGAAAAAGCAGAAAAAGGATACTCAAATCCATTTACAAGAAACATGACAGAAAAATTACACAACCAAAATCTGAAAACTTAACAACATTGATCAACAAGAATTGTATTCATATTTTACACTATCGTTCAATTATTAATATTCGATCATTAAAAACGTTGAACTTTAATCATAACTACTTCTACAATCACATATATGCTTGATTGTGATTATTTATGATGCAACAACAACCAAGTCTTATACCATTAAATGGGATCGGCTACATGAACCAACTTTCGTCATAATGTTCTATCCAAGATCATGTTTTTATCCAAATTGTTAATCTCGAGGTTTTTTCAGGTCTCCCTCTACCTATACCTGTAATGGTTTGATTTCTCTCCATCAGATCTGCTCTCCTTCCAACACAGAATCTACAAATCTTCTCCCTACATTCCCAAACCACACCTAAGACTATTTATGATGCATCAAAATTAAACTCAAATACCCTAGTTAAGGTGGAAATGATGGGAGTACCAAAGTTTTTAACCATTTTTGGAAAATTACATGATTAAATTCCAAATCACCAACCACTTTGATCCTAAAAAAAACTGAAATTAATGCACATGTCACACAAGGTTCCAACGTACAGAATTATAGCATTTTACTAAAATCAAAACAACGAGAGGAGAGGCAAATTTCATTCTTCAAGTGATTACCATAAACATTACATCAATCACATAAAAATCTGGCAGATAAAAATATTTCAATTTTCTTTATTATGGAGAATTACCTACCAAAAACATTGGTTTCAAAGGTGTTTTGAACAGTAGATAGAGGAATCTCGGCGAGTGGACCGACACACGGAACACCCGCGTTGTTGACGAGAATATCAATACGGCCGTATTTATTCACGACAGTATTGACAACTCTGTTCACGCTCTCGTCGGACTGAACATCGAGTTCTTGAAGGAAGAATTTGGGGTCGTGGTCCAAGTCCGCCATGGTGGAACGCGATCTGCTGGTGGCAACTACTTTGCAACTGTTGGCGGCGAAGGAGCGTGCAAGCGCGTGGCCTATTCCTCCTCCGCTGCAACCCGTGACGAGGACCACCGGTTTTGAATCTTCTCGATCATCGGCGTTGATGTCCATTGCGTTGTGATGTTGTTTTGTGAGAGTCGGTAATATGTGTTTTAAGGCTCATAATGTTGAGTTAGTATTACCCGATTCGAGGAGCAGGATAGATTAGTATATGGATGATGACGTATGGAGTGGTTACACTCGTTTAGTATGGTAATGAACATTCAATTTGCTCATTATTTGTACTATCCTTCTTAACATTATGTCCCTTAGTTTTGAAAATTCCATCCTATAAAAGATTAGATTTCACTTATAAAAATTACTTGTTTGGGTAATAAGTAATTAGGACAATCAAGCGAATGAATTTGAATATAATTTAAAATTTGACAATTAAATTATTGAATTAGATTTATAAAAATTAAATGAGTTGAATATAAGCGAATGATTAAATTTGTTAATTAAATGAACTGAATTAAAATTATGTATATCGTAGAAACTTTTTAAATTAATAATGTCAGGACCGGAGAAATTTATTAATTTAGAGAGTTATTAATTCATCGATAAATTAATAATTATTAATTTAAAGAATTTTTAAGTAACTATACCGTACATACCAAACAAAAAGGCATTAGTCTATGCCTTTAAGAATTAGGTTGTAGCGAACTTTGGGACTCAACGTAAATTAGTAACTACTGTGTTCATATGCATTGGAAATCAATAATGACTTTTGAGGTACAGTAAATGTAAACAAGAGGAACAAATGTGTTCAATGTATTCTTAAGCTAGTTTGTCATATATAAGGTGTTGCAAAATGAATGTGTTAGAGTATTCAAACCATATCTCACAAAATGGCTTATCATCTAAAAGGTGTTGCAAAATTAACTATGTCAGATCAAATACGTAAGGAGTTGTGTGAGTACAAGAGAGATAATCCTGCAAGCACACAAAAGACTTGCAAAAATGGCTTGAGGGAAAATTTCAGTTGAAAGTTAGTCAAGGAACAATATCAAACACACTTAAACGGTCAGATGACTATCTCTCTGCTGAAATAGAAAAGGGAAAAGCAGAGATCAAAAGACACAAACCAGCAAAATATCCTGACATGGAGAAGGTTGTTTATGAGTGGTTTCTCCAGCATCAAGAACGTGTGAATATCACAAGAGAATTAATTTTGCAGAAGGCAAGAGATACAATGAAACTCGTGTACCCTCATGATGATTCAAATTTTAACTTCTCTATAGGATGACTTGGGAAATTCAAGAACCGACATAGTATAAAGTCATTTCATCGTTTTGGCGAGAGTGGGTATGTTGATGTACAAGACATGGAGCAGAAATTGGTATCGATTCGGGTGAAAATTGACCAGTTCCCTATGAAAGATGTTTTCAATATGGATGAAACTGGGTTGTTTTATAGGCTACAAGCTGATCATTCACTGGCAACAAAACAACTTGAAGGAAGAAAGCAAGATAAAGAAAGGTTGACGGTAGTTATTTGTTGCAATGAAGATGACTCTGAAAAAATCCCTCTATAGATTATTGGGAATATTGCAAAGCCCCGTTGCTTCAAGAATGTCAACATGAATAGCTTGGATTGTTAGTATCGAGCTAACAAAAAAGCATGGATGACTAGTGTGCTTTTTGATGAATATGTTCGTTCATTTGACCAAATGATGCATGGTAGAAGAGTTCTACTTGTGGTGGATAATTGTCCAGCACATCCAAGAAATATTGAAGGGCTAAGAAACGTTGAGTTGTTCTTCTTGCCACCCAACATGACATCAAAGATTCAACCTTGCGATACTGGGATAATAAGAGCTTTCAAGATGCATTATCGTAGAAGGTTTTACCGCAAAATATTGGAAGGTTATGAGGTGGGACAATCTGATCCAGGGAAGATAAATGTCCTTAATGCTATCAATTTGGCAATCACAACTTGGACGATAGATGTTCGAAAAGAAACAATAACGAATTGCTTCCGACACTGTAAATTCGTTCAACTAATGACGTTGCAAGAAACTTGGATGAATCCACTTTTGATGAAGAAACTCAAGACCTCGAGACTATGATCAATCAATGTGGCTATCGTAATAAGATGGATATCGAAAATCTAATGAACTACCCAAGTGAAAATGAAGCATGTTTGGAGGTTCAGAGTTTAGAAGATATTGTGGGTACTATCATTGAGAACAATGTAGAGGATGACGACGAAGATGATACGGTGTCTTTGGAGCCTGTTACGCGAAAGGAAGCACTTATGTCGTCGAACACTCTTCACAACTTTATGATATAATACAAAAATACAACACCTGGGCTATTGGATGCAATAAGAAAAGTTAGAGATGAGCTCCAAATACACTTGAACTTTAAAGGAAAACAAACAACTATTGAATTATATTTCATTAGAGTGTAATGTATTTTTTTCAGTTTCTATGAATTATTATTTTATGATTTTCTGGGGACCGAAAATTATAAAGGGATCTCCCGAAAAATTATTATCTTATTATTTTATCGAGTTTTTCAATTTTTTACATTGGCCTAAATCGGAACAGGACAAATTTATTATTTTAGAGAGTTTATTAATTTACTGAGTATTAATTTAAAGAGTTTCTACTGTAGTTTGATTCGTTAAGTTTACGAGTCAATTCAATTATATATGAGAAAAATTATATGAATTTTTTTACCAGAATAGCACAGTTTTTTAAAAAATTCCCAAAATACCTCACATTTCAAATTATTTTCCAAAGTACCTCACTTTCGAGGTGTGATAGAAATCTATCTCCAGATGAATTGGCGACAACATTATGGGCTTTAGAAGTGTTGCCAATTGGATTGGAGACACCTTATGGTACTGTCAATTCAATTGGTGACTGGGTGTTAATAGTAAAAGGGAGGCGCCAATTGATATGGAGACAGGGTGTGTTTTGTAAAAAAAAATTAAGAAAAATTATATTACATAAATTAATGTTGGTGAGCGGGTTGGTCATACCGGCCACCGGTTCTACATCCCCTAGGCACCCTCACTCGTTGCACTCGTCCCCCTCGTTGATTCACTTTAGGTGTTTTAGGAGTTGAAGCCTCAGAAACATCCCCAGCTGATTCCCTAAGAATTTCTTGCATTTTCATGAGGTCTTGTATGTTGAAACTGAGTGTGTGATTCATGCTAGAGTAGTTCGGATCTGATGAAGGGATCATTAGTGTGCGGCCTGGAAGATTGAAGGGGACATTGGTGTGAAGGATTCGTTGGTGAAATGTTGAAATGATAGTGGTGTTTGAAAGTCATAAGGTTGTTGGGATGTTTGTGTGTGTAGGCTAGGGTCTGATGTCTGAGCGTTTTGGCTATGGAAAGATGTTTGGGCATTTTTGATATGGTATGATGTACCCTCATTTTGGCTATATCTCGATGTTGTGTTGGAGGCATAGCCATATTGGGGTTCTTAATAATAGTCATTTTGTTGGAGATGGTATGGGGGACGCTCTTGGTATTGTGGTTGGGTGTTTGGCATGTTTGGATGATGGGTTTGTATGTTAGTGGGTTGGTAATTATGTTGGGTTAGGAGTTGTGAGTAACATGGCCGATAATTTCCCGGTGGGTTAGACGCAGAAGCTTCTTGTGTGTAGGTGATTTGTCGTGGGTCGTATATATACCTCTCTTCGGAGACAAACTCAATTGTAACCGACCTGTATCAAGCTATATAATTATTAGTTGGTATAGACGGGGTTTCCATCACCGGATCACGTAAGACATGGGCGCTGCGGTTCCTCCATTTACGAAACTCAAATTTTGCAAAATTCTTCCAGTCGGGATAATCCCACTCATCATTGACTCTTTTGGGATGTTTTGATGCATTTCAATCACCGTTTTGGTGAGATCAACCTATTATAGGTTGGTATCACTTTTTGCAACAAGAGGAAAAAGATTGAGTGTTGCGTTAATGTCGGGTCAAGTATTCAGTGAAAGCATAATGAAGGTGATGAAAGAGGATACTATCAAAGGAAGTTCACGTGCAGTTATAGTCTTTGACCGTCATAGGCAAACTTTTAGTGTACAAGAAACTATGGACCATAATGAGGGGAGGCCAAATTTATCCTATGCTATCAGACTAAACAGATGTTGATGTGATTGTGGCAAGTACCAGGCCTTCCGTGTACCTTGCTCACATGTCATTACGACATGCGCACATGCTCGTCAGGATGCTTATAGCCCTTTATCTGATGTTTACAAGGCGATTAATGTTATGAATGTCTACAACGAAGGCTTCGTAATGCTACCAATGGAGGAATATTGGCCTCTATACCAAATGAACATAGTTTGACACAACGATGAGATGCGAAGAAAGAAAAAAAGACGCCCAAACAACAAGCGTATAAGAACCAAAATGGATACGACTGATAAAATCATAAGATTATGCAGTATATGTCGTCAGCCCAGACACAACTGAAAAAATTGTCTCAATGTCTGAGTAACCTCTGCATGACGATTTAGTTTATCCTTTCAATTGTTGTAACCTAATATTTTCATATATTAATGAGTCTTTGTTACAACAATGTTAACAACAAACAACACATATCGCGAACTAACAACAAACAACACATACGACACATAAAATAAATAACAGAAAAGAAACATAAAACATTTATAACTTATTACAATAATCAAACTAATTTCATTTGGTCCAAACATGACTTTTCTCTCATTTTTTTCAGTCTTAACGCGAACCCATCCACGCAGGCATCCAAGTCTCTCGATACTTAGAATTTTTTTCCCTTCACCAATGTCTCCTTCTAACCATCGATTCATCTCCCTCTTAAGTTGATTGAAACTTTGAATATTCCAAAACAGCATGTCCATCAGAGGCTTTTCTCTCGAATATACCATTTTTCCCCACCATCGATGATACATGTTATTAGTGGAACAAAGATATGAGATGAGTTGTGGAACCAAATGATCAGAACACCTCTATTTATAGAAAAACATTTCACTTTTAAGGTTGTCTCCATCTCAATTGGCGACTTCCATGTAAGTTTTAAACTCATGCGCCAATTGAATTGGAGACACCATGAGGTGTCTCC